GGTGTCTGGGTTGTGTCTTGGTTGTGTCTGGGTTGTGTCTGTGTTGTGTCTAAGTTGTGTCTACGTTTTGCCTGGGTTGTGTCAAGGTTCGGTCTCTGTTTTGTGTGGGTTGTGTAAGAGCCTTCAGGCTTTTCTTCTTCGCGGTGCCTGAAGTGTTTTAGGGCGTGGCCGGAACTGTTCTGGACGTGTTTCACTTTTTTCCCCATCTGCCAGGTGATCCGCCAGACAGCGGACACCGGACACCACGGCCTTTTGGCGAGCTCGCCAGCTCTTTGCACATCCGGATAATATATGTCAGAGAGATGCCAGATATAATGCCAAATAGAATGCCAGATAAAACCGGTCAGAAAACATGGCAAATAGAGAATGTCAAATATATATATATATGTGTGTGTGTGTGTTGTCTGTAACGTCAGGCAGGATGCCAGGTAAAATGCCAGAACAAACGCCGGGCAAAAGGTAGGAATAAGTGTCAGGTTTAATGCCATATACAAATCAACGAGCTTGTCAGGTACTAGAGTAGAATGCCGGATAAAACGTCAGAATATATGTCAGATAGAATGTAAGAATGTCAGATTAAATGTCAGATTAAATGTCAGATAAAAACGCCAGGCAACATGTCAGAAGATTAATTCCTCAGATAGAATATGATAAAGTATGTCAGTAACGCATGTCAGATAGAATGTCAGATTAAAAAACAGAACCCATGGCTGAATTTGTGGTTGTGGGGCGCACTTTTTTTGGGTGTCTCACTTGTTTTCAACTTATCTGGGCAGCGTTGGTTCAGATGTTTGAATTGCTTCCGGCATATGTCTGTGTTGTGGTGGCTGTGTTGTGTTTGTGCAATGTTTGGGATATGTTCAGAACGTGGCTGCGTTGAAGGTCGGAAATCCTTATTTAAGAATCCGTTCTCCGGGGTGGGTTCATGTTGGAAGGCTTGCGGGGACGTGCTTGCTATAGGGCAGTTTGCAGCGTATCCTTCCCCCTTCACATGTGTAGGGCTACGGTAGAAGGGCGTGAAATGCTTGGAAAACATGTTGGCCAAACTGCTTGGCAGAACACGTTGGCAAAAATTTTTGCCAACCATCTTTGCCGGCCATGCTGGCCCCTGCCCTTGCCAAGGGGTTTTGCGCCCATATCGCCTGGAGTGTTAAGCATTCCATGGCTTCACCAATGTATAATATAAATATATTTTTGGTATACATATATACATTAAAATATATATATATGTATATGTATATGTATATGTAAATGTAAACTTATTGTACATATATATATATATATGAACACACATGTTGTGAATGCTATGAAAAGGGAACAATCTCCCAGAGATTTTGCTTGACAGGCGGGTCCATGTTGGCGGTTGGAAGCGTAGCAGGCAGGCTGCAGCCATCTGCACGAGGGTAGATGAGTTGGGATCTGACGTGGCTTGTGGTACTCCAAAATTGGATGAGTTATGTCTCCACAGGTCTTCATTCACATGAATGATTTGCCCAGGCAACTTCACGAAACGTTTGTGGCCAAAATCCAAATGAAACACAGCAAAATAAATTTCAGATTTGGGTTTCTATCGTTCTGAAATAGTGATCCAACTCGTACTGCTTTTGGGCAGTAGAGTAAAATCATTTCCATTTTGGCATCCTCAAGCAGTCTCCATTCCTCATTTTCCCATGATAAAATGCAGCAAAAACTTTGGGGATCTTGAGACGGAGCAGGTGTGACTTTGATGGGCTTGGAGCACGTGGGTTTTCTGTGGTACATGCGCCGAATCTCTCCATGGGCGGCCCTTGGCTTTGCTGCCGGCATCGGTTCGTATGCTTTGCAGCGCATGATCGTTCTCTAAGGCGCGGTAGGGTTGTGAAATCAGCGTTTTGGGAGATTGGATGAATTGTGAAAACGATCCCTTGAGGATTTGGATGCTTTGCAAGCCAAAGAGTCTTGGGATCTCTTAATCCCTAAGTCTTTCATGTTTGTTTTCTTCCACACTTCTGGCCAGACTCTCCTGTGTCGGCCATGTTTTGTAATGCCAATCTTCGGTCTGATGGTCAGCCAGTCGGGGAGCTCAGCATGGGTCAGCAGCCTGTGGAGTCATCATCCAGTCTTCCTGTTTTTTTTCAAAGGAAAACTAAGATGTTACACACACACATGTTTCACACATTTTTGGGCATGATTGGATTGCTTGGATTGGCCGGTGTGAGGTTGGTCTGGGCCTCGCTTCGATGCCAAGACCGGCGCTGCTCAGTTGTTTTCCCCCGGAGAACGGAGGATCTATGCTCAGTGGGAAAGCAGGTGGGCAACCCATGACCGCCACGGTCGCCATGACCGCCATGACGCTATCCTTTTCTGCACGAGTCGTGGTGTTGGTTGCCCACTGTCGGTAGCTGGACCTCCGCCGGTATGTTTTATTTTCATTTACCCTCCGGTAATGAAACATGGCAACTGGAATCCACTATAAATGCAGTTTTTCATGGGAAAATCAAGCATAAATAGGTGATTATCCATTGCCATGTTTGATTACCGGAGAGTAACCCTAATTAATTCAAGGGAAGAAAGTTGGTCTTCCCTCTGCAGACCTGTCCCATCCTAGAAATGCCGGAAACTGGCAATTTGCCCAATTCCTCGAAGATCAGATGTTAGTACCATTGTCGGCTCACTGAATCTACAGCCGAAGTTACTAGGTTACTAGGTCAGTTCAGGCTCAGGCTGTGACTCAGAATGGCTGAGATTCCAGTATACACGCCATTTTCTGGTCGTATTTTTTTCATACTTTTGCCATTCACCACCATGGTAGCACTGGAACTGAGTTTGGCTGACAGGCCAATCAATCCTGGCGGAGTTTTGACATTTTATCGTTGGCAACAATATGGTAAAAGTGGTATGAATAGCCACAAAAGTGGCATCGTTTTCAGTAGAATTGCTGTCCAAATCGTCCACCTTCCAACTGGAAAGGGTCACAGTTTTCCTGAGTCACCCGAGAAAAGGATGGTTTTCAGACAAGCTGAATGGAATCGAGGGATTTTGCCGCTTTGAACTCTGCGAAATTCTGCTCCTAAGATGTGCAGAAAAAGTGCAGACTAGGCTTCGTATGTGATGGGCCTTTAGCCCGGCGAAGAGCTTGGCAGAGCACGGTGAAATGATAGCGCTGATAGCGAGTAAAGATCGCGAGTAAAGAACTGGATCCAAGCCAGTTGGCTGTGCGGTGGCCAGTTCGCTGTGCGTTGCTGGCTTGGATCTGGTAAAAAAAAACATCTGTATAGCCACACGCAAAGCTGTGGGGCACCACACACAATGAGCAGAGGTGAAGATGGTGAAGGATACCGTTGCACCATGTTGATAAACAAACTATTGTAACTATTGACAACTGGTTGGTGGTTTCAAAAAAAAAATATTTTCCATGATATATGGGATAATCCTTCCCATTGACTTTCATATTTTTCAGAGGGCTTGAAACCACCAACCGTTGTAACTATTGATAAAACTTGGGTCTGGTCTATGTTTTGCCCTTTCCGTGGTTAGGTGAATCAGGTTCCTAAGTCCATGTCACACTTGCGCTCACCAGGTGTCAGACACTCCAGAGTGGCTGCAACCTCTTTGGAAAACATCAATGTGCTGCTGCTACTGCAGGGCTGTGAAGGTGGTGTACAAACAAAGCAAAATTACATCAAGGGTTAGTTACCACTGAAAAGCACTCTGTGCTAGGTCAGGTTGATAGCGCGGACACTTTCAAGAAATTGATGCCATCGGTACGGCGCTAGGACCTGTATTTTGTACATGCATTTTCTCACTGATCTTCATGGCATTGTAACTGCGCCTTAGCGCTCACAGTAGGCCAGCTCTGATCCTGAAAAAACTGCGCTCGAGTGACGTCAGGTTTGGAATCCGTACGTGGAGCGAGTTCCCATCTTCAGACTCAAAGGTGCCGCGCATTTCGCTGCGAGGTTTGATTCCACGAAATGTGGGCCTGGGATGGCCTGGGCCTGCTTTGATCTGGGTATTTATTTTATCGCTATTGAGTGTAAGTCTGTGTGTGTCCAGAGTTGCAGTGAGTTGCAATGAGTTACATGCGTTTTGAAGGGTTTCTAGTGCCCCGGCAGTGGCGGTTGACGTTGGATCAAGGGCTGCGTGTGTCCTGGTCTCCAAGTCTTCGAGTGACTCGGTGGTGTCGGTGGTGTCTCTGTGTCTGGTGTCTTGGCACTGCTACAATATCTTGGTGGTGTGGTGTGGTGGTGGTATCTCGTTTCCATTGTGCTTTGGTGTCTCGAAGTTGTCTGGTTCGTGCCTTGATCTTTTTTGTCTTCGTGTTGGTGTTGTGTCTTTGAAACGTAAGGAGCCTGGGAGGTGCTGAAGCAATCAGCTGTCGTCAACGATCGCATGAAACGTCTCATAAGACAAAAGACTTCGTGCACATTCATATTGCTGCTTTCCAAAGATGTGGACATGTGGGCCTTCTACCCCTTCAACTCCAATGCTGCAGGAATTCCAAGACCAGGAGACCTCACCAGCATGCGTATGAAACATGAATTGAAACCAGCAGAAGATTTTTTGCAACTTTGTCCCACCATGTCAGATATGTGTTTGCCAGGCCACATATCTGACATGGAAACGCGCGCTGTGTTTCTCTGTGTTTCTCTGTTGCAAGCGCAAGGCCACACACACGCTCTTTGTGGTGTTTCGATTGTGCCGGGCACACCACAAATCCTTTCCGCGGATGCTGGATGCTCAGGATGTGCAGCGTGATACAGTAGGGTAGCAAGTGTGGCAGATAGATCTGGTGGATGCTCAAGGGTCCTAGTGGGGACAAATGGATTCCGTTCTGAGACTTTGGAGGTCCTAGTTCGCGATGCTTAAGTTCTTAAGCATCCCAGAAGTGACATGGAAAGCGACAGTCTAGCCACTGATTTTTCTCTTCGAGTTGTTTACGCTATCGGATTCCATGCAAAGATTCTCACGGCAAATGAACATGAAAAACATGATGAACGCTGTCGCGAAGCGCAGCGCAGGTGGCTGGAACCTTCCGACTTTGGGACATGCGAAGTTTCCGCTGTGTGGGAACTCCCAGGAGATGGCTGCGGGGTGAAACACACGGACAAAACACTTCGGCCCGGTGGGCTCGAGGTTCAGTCCTTCGGTGGAAACGAGCTGGGGAACCCAGTTGAACCCAGTTGAACCCAGAGTGCGGTGTCGGTTCTCAGATGTTCTCAGGGCGTTGACTCAGGGGCTCAGCCCGTTCCATGAGAAATGATCGAAATTGCCGTAGAACATCTTTGGAATTGGAAAGCATTGGAAAGTAGCACATGATTATGGCATATTGTGGCAATATCCAAAGATTCACAGCACCATGTGTTGGCTTTCAAAATCGAACCCGCAGAGTGAGGACCACCTTAAATGATCTCAACACGTTTTGCATCATGTCTGGTAGCCCAGAGGACGCTGGTAGCTGAGCGGCTGGTTGGGTCAGTTGTGCCTCAACCTTGTTCTTCCTTCCAATTGCATCCCAGGCCGCCTCACCACCGCTTAGCAGCCGGTGCAAGTCGGGTATGGAGCCCAGTTAGCTCGTGAGACATGTCGAGTCACTGTTAGCTTAGTTAGCGAAAGTCTTATTTTCATGTATTTTAGACCCCTTCTTGGTTCACTTGTGTCACTGGGAATCACACCTTGGAAACCTGGAATTTGGTGGTTGGAGACGATGAAGGAATTGTGCTTGTCGAGTGGCTGAAACCACAGAATTTGCAACCCTGAACATGAAATCTGTTGAAAGCATAGACCTTAGCAAAGGCCTTTGCAAGCAGAATTCATAGTTTGGTTTAATCAGCATCAACAAATACACTACCTGTAGTGATCCTTGCTGGATATCCAATCCGAGAAGTGCATATTTACAAGTCACTTGGGAGACTCTTTTTAGGCCATGGAAAGCCTTACTGGGTGCTTTCAATTCTACTGCGCTTGATCATTCCAAACTTGACCTTGAGGTCATTTTGCATGACTATATGGATGAATGGGGCGGCGAAAGTGTGACCGATACAGGCCACATCAATTGACGTTGTGTGTTGCGGGTGCAGACTGCGGACGATGTTGCGGTAGATTTGTCGCAGGTGGGGTGACCGATGCTTTGTACAACCCCACAGTGGGAGAATTCTACACAGCTGGCGCCCCCAGGGACCGGGCCCAGAGGCGTCCGCATGGGCAATTTCTGCACATTTTCCATGTCCCCATACGAGTTCTCCCTGAGATCAGCAAGCAGACGGTGAAGACCTGGAATGCCAACACAGGACGTGGAAACGCCTGGCTTTGATACCTTTAAGATCCTTAAAGTACAGCAAAGATCGTGCAGCATGCTCTTCAGTCTCAGTGCAAAGATCGTGGTTGGTGAAGAGTTTAGTTGCTGCCCAAAACATTTTATGTCTTGCTATCTGGGGTTTATTCTGGCGTAATTTTTAGATGGAGAAAGCCGCCCCACAAGACACAGCAAGGCAGTGCCATGGAGATCCATAGAGATCCATAGAATGCCAAGATCTTCAGGGCATCACTGGATGGAGTTCTCTAGTAAAGCCTGCAAAAACCAAGGCATCCGGCTGTTTGAAATGTCATTTGGGAACCAGCACTGGGAAGCGCGGTATGTCAAGAGCGCATCAAATTGGAATCTGCATCACCCATTGCTGGCAGGAGTTCTTTTCAAAGTGCTGCGAGATATCACGCAGGACCCGGATGCCGAACTTGGTCACTATTTGTTTCGGGGCAGCTCAAATCTAGATTCAGATATAGCTAATAAATGCTAGTAATCTAATATCATCGAAATAACTGAATGATAGCAAGACTTGACATTTGACACTTCTTGGTTTTGACAAATTACTCACTGACTGCATTGAATTCACTTTCTCAAACCAATCAGTTTCGTACCAGAAACCATTGGCTCAGATAGAAACAATGAGACAAAACAATGGTTGGAGTCACACTTCTTCGTATATTGATCACTCGTTCTTTTTGGATTTCCATTCATAAGCTTTGAAGAAAAACCTTGTCCAAGAGAGTGCCGAACAGTAAATGTATTTTGGGTGCTCCTGGAAAGGGCAGGTGCGTGGCTGTTGATGTGAAGAGGCAACTTGTGCCAATACTTTTGTAGCACGTGGCTGTGGGTACGAGCATTTTTGCCAAATGCAGAAAGTTCGCCCTGGTTTGGGATGACTTACCCACTGGTTCACTGAGCCAATTCCCCATTCCCATCTTGGACATTTCGTTGATATGAGTCGATGTCAGCCGCTAATACATCTGGTGCTGACAGGATGAGATTACGGCAGCTTGTGTAGCTGACAATGGCCGTAAGATTTACTTGGGCGATGCCAAAGGAAGGGCCGGGGATCCTAAAATTCAGAAGGACCAGATAGGATTTTTTCAGGTTTCCTGACATGGGGGTACCTCCAAATCATCCATTGATTCATAGGATTTTCCATTATAAAACTATCCAGCTATTGGGTACCACCATGACTATGGAAAGCCCTATTTTTCGATGACTGGCCTGGCCTGTGGCCGGTGGCCACTGGTGAGGTGCAATCCCATGGGCTGCAGAATGGTGCTGTTCTCAGCGTCTTCGACCAACATCCCACGGACACCTGGATGGATGGGTGGGTGGATTTACCATCTGGTTATGACTAACAGTTTGCCATGGAAAGATCCAGCATTTTTAATAGGTAAACCGAATCTATTTCAATGGGTCATTTTCCATGGCTATCTTAAATAACCAGAGGGTACCTGGTATACCTTTCCGCGTAGGAACAGTGTGTGATGCCTTTTGAGTCAACAAGTAAGACAGACCTTGGGCGGTTCGTGTTCCACTAGGGTAGTGAAGCATGTCTATCTCAACCTGCCAGGACATCTCTTGTCTTTCAATATGGAAGGTGCGTTCCAGCAAAGCACTGCAGGGTCAACTTGGTCTACCACCTGATTGTTTCCAGTTGTAACATGTTGTAAGTGAACATGGCTGCTACATTGGCATTGCTGGCTTCCCCTCCATTGTTATCGGGTGTTCAAATCCAGGACCAAGGATTGTTCACATTTGTTCACTAGTTTTTTGAACAGCGGAAGTCACGAACGATGAACGTCCTTTCGGCAGATCCATCTTTTGAGGGAAATCATAAGACATCAATGCCCTCTGGTAATTTGTTACATTTGTTACAGAAAATGCCCCATTTAGTTTGTTGATGTAGAGTTACAAATGTACTATTGAATAGTTATGTAACTATTGAAAATGCACCATTTAGTTTGTTTACATAACTTTGTTACATAACTATTCAAGATGGTGATGTTCCATGGTTTTTGGCCATGGCAGGGGACGAACAAAGTTTTCTCCTCCTCCTGGGACGGAACCGTTGCTGAGACTGACATGATTTCGTGGGCGGGGTTTCGTTGTTTGATTTAGGGTTGATGGGGTGATGATAGAGGATAGACCCTCTAGTAAACATACAAAAAACTATGGAAAACCACCATTTTTAATGGGCAAATCCGCTGTAAATGGCCATTTTCAATAGCTATGTTAAATTACCAGAGGGTAGATATTGGGGGTGTATCCCCAATAGCATCCAATAGCTGGATGGTTCATGATGGAAAATCCGCATTTCAAATGGATGATAACTAGGGGTACCCCCATGAATTGGAAACCTCCATATTTTGATCTTCAAGTGCTCAAGAAAATTGGCACCTCTGCATTCTGTCATGAGGGCTTCCCGCAGCATCGGACCTTTCGACTTTGAAGACCACATTTGTGTCCCACTTCAGGTCTGTCAAAAGCATCTCGGCTCAAGTTTGGATTCTTCCCCCACGCTGAAAGAGCGAAGTCTACATGACCCTGACTGCAAATTCGGGGAGACGCACTGGCGCTTAAAAAAAAGGTGAATCGCAGGCTCTGATTTTTTGGAGGGTCTCCACCAGACATCGGGATGACCAATCGCAATTACGACGATGCCAGGCGAGCAGCACTGGACTTTGCCACGAAGGCAGGCTCAGAAAATGTCGCGCCTTTACTCTCGATGCGAGATCTGCGTGAGCGTATGGAGAAAGGGGAGCGTGTGGTCATTGTGCCTTGACCGTTTCTGCAAGTCATAGCTGTATCATATCTATGCATAGACATATACACAAAGAAAGCCAGCCGTAGGCATAGGTGCGTATGTAGACAAGAATATACATGTACACAGTATATATATATATATATATCATGTTGTACATTCACACCTGCATACATATGGGCATGTATATATTTTTCTATTACATAGTGACATAGTAGGTAATATATATATATATATATATATTGTGAAGAGATGCCTGCATTCAGCCACTGATGCCAGGTTGCTGTGAGCCACCACCTCTACATGCCTGCCGGCCCTGACGCTGGTTCAAATGCGTAGCCGGCCTGAGGATGCCCGGTCCGACCCTGACACGGTCCGGCCTGGCTAGACCTCCGGTCCGCGGGAAAGCGGGAAACATATGAATCATGCAGCAGCATGAGCCAGACATGGAACGACAGATGAAACATGGACAAGGACAACAGAACGTTGCATGTGTACAGCATAACAGATACCTTTCTTTTTCCCGAGAGCGTCTGAGCGCAGGGTTCTTCCAATAGTGGGGGTCTGTAAAACATCTTCTCATCTTCACATCTCATCTTCACATCTGCTCATCTCTCATCTTCACATCTGCTCATCTTCACACCTTCCTCTCATCTTCACATCTGCTCATCTTCACACCTTCCCATCTTCACATCTGCTCATCTTCACACCTTCCCATCACATCTGCTCATCTTCACATCTGCTCATCTTCACATCTGCTCATCTTCACATCTTCTCATCTTCACATCTTCTCATCTTCACATCTGCTCATCTTCACATCTGCTCATCTTCACATCTGCTCATCTTCACATCTTCTCATCTTCACATCTGTTCATCTTCACATCTGCTCATCTTCACATCTCATCTTCACATCTGCTCATCTTCACATCTTCTCATCTTCACACCTGCTCATCTTCACATCTGCTCATCTTCACATCTGCTCATCTTCACACCTTCCCATCTTCTCATCTTCACATCTGCTCATCTTCACATCTGCTCATCTTCACATCTGCTCATGTTCACATCTGCTCATCTTCACATCTTCTTATCTTCACACCTGCTCACCTTCTCTCTCATGCCTTCTTTTTATCTTTCTCTCTTAAGGCCGAGGGTGGTGCCGGCGGCGAGTCACGAAACGTCAACCCTTTCGCAGGAAATGAGGGTCGATCGGCAAAAACTGAGGTAAAAGTGCGATTTTACTTGTCCCGGAGCAACCCTTTCGCACGAAATGAGGGTCGATCGGCAAAAACTGAGGTAAAAGTGCGATTTGACTTGTCCTGGAGCAACCCTTTCGCACGAAATGAGGGTCGATCGGCAAAAACTGAGGTAAAAGTGCGATTTTACTTGTGCCGGAGCAACCCTTTCGCACGAAATGAGGGTCGATCGGCAAAAACTGAGGTAAAACTGCGATTTTACGTGTGCTAAAGCAACCCTTTCGCACGAAATGAGGGTCGATCGGCAAAAACTGAGGTAAAAGTGCGATTTTACTTGTCCTGGAGCAACCCTTTCGCGCGAAATGAGGGTCGATCGGCAAAAACTGAGGTAAAAGTGCGATTTTACTTGTCCTGGAGCAACCCTTTCGCGCGAAATGAGGGTCGATCGGCAAAAACTGAGGTAAAAGTGCGATTTTACTTGTGCCGTTCTTGTCTGTGTGTAAAAGCGCCTGTGTGTAAAAAGCGTCTGTGTGTAAAAGTCTCTGTGTGTAAAAGCGTCTGTGTGTAAAAGCGTCTGTGTGTCAAAGTGTCTGTGTGTAAAAGCGTCTGTGTGTAAAAGTGTTTGTGTGTAAAGTGTTTGTGTTCAAGTGTTTCTGTGTAAAAGCCTCTGTGTGTAAATGTGTTTGTGTGTGAAAGCGTTTGCGTGTAAAAAGCGTCTGTGTGTAGAGGTTGTCTGTGTGTAAAAGCGTCTGTGTGTCAAAGCGTTTGTGTGTAAAAGCGTCTGTGTGTAAAAGTGTTTGTATGTAAAAGCTTCTGTGTGTAAAAGTGTTTGTGTAAAAGTGTTTGTGTAAAGCGTCTGTGCGTAAAAGTGTTTGTATGTAAAAGCTTCTGTGTGTAAAAGTGTTTGTGTTACAGTGTTTGTGTAAAAGCCTCTGTGTGTAAAAGCTTTGTGTTTAAAAGCGTCTGTGTGTAAAAAGCGTCTGTTTGTAAAAGTGTTTGCGATGCAAACTACTGTCTTGCACTTCTCACTGTCCTGTCTTGATACTCCTCTTCTCGACTGCCTATAACAGAGCTTTCATATATCGTTTCTAATATTGCGTCTCCATACTAACAAGAGAAGACCCTGCTCCCCCCTGAACTGGCCGAGCAAACATGACTGTAAGCATTTCCAGAGCTTCTTTTGGTGGCCGTGGTGCTCGTCTTTGGAGATTTTGGAGGCCTGCTGCATGTTGCCGTGTGGCAGTCATTCGATGTTTTGCAGCTAGCTTTTGGTAAAACCGCATGATTTTGCGAGTTTCAACTGCAAGTTTGTGTTCCGTTTGTTCGTGAAAGCATGAAGCTGGTCGGCGCAGCTATTGGTTCGAGATTTGTATCGCGCTTGGCGTCTAGAAGTTGTCACTCTGGTCTCGCTGCAACCGGATATGTCCGAGAAGGTCCGAGAGTTGCAACAAGGCTTGACAGAGGGAGGAGTTGATCCCTTCCGGCGCCAGGTGCGCAAACTTGGGATCAATGCATTGACGGCTTTAGCTTCTGAGCTGGGGATGTCACTGTGTGGCATTCATTCGATGTTTTGCACCGCATGATTTTGCGCCAGGTGCGCAAACTTGGGATCAATGCATTGAAGGCTTTAGTTTCTGAGCTCGGGATGTCAGTGTGTGGCAGTCATTCGATGTTTTGCAGCTAGCTTTTGGTAACACCGCATGATTTTGCGCCAGGTTCGCAAACTTGGGATCAATGCATTGAAGGCTTTAGTTTCTGAGCTGGGGATGGCAGTGTGTGGTAGTCATTCGATGTTTTGCAGCTAGCTTTTGGTAACACCGCATGATTTTGCGCCAGGTGCGCAAACTTGGGATCAATGCAGTGAAGCCTTTAGCTTCTGAGCTGGGGATGTCAGTGTGTGGCAGTCATTCGATGGTTTGCAGCTAGCTTTTTGGTGAAACCGCATGATTTTGCGCCAGGTGCGCAAACTTGGGATCAACGCATTGAAGGCTTTAGCTTCTGAGCTGGGGATGTCAGTGTGTGGTAGTCATTCGATGTTTTGCAGCTAGCTTGTGGTAAAACCGCATGATATTGCGCCAGGTGGCAAACTTGGGATCAAT